CCTCCCCTCCTTTCTAATATGCTTCTACTCATGATCATATTAAAAAACATGAGACGGAAGTAGGGAGCCCTTGGGGGAAAACTGTTCCTTCCCTTAGGGAGCTACTGAGCTCATTTAGGGGAGAAAGGAAGACACAGAGCACAGCACAGTGCTAGTAGCCTCTCTGGGACTGCAGGGCAAAGTAGAAAGCAGCCAGGCAGGCCACAGAGGAGCTGGAAGAAACATTATTGAGACTCGGGCAGTCACGCCAGCTTTTCTGCAACACAAAGTCCCTAAACTAATGATTACCAAACGATTCCTGCAAAGACATGGGTGGGGAGAGTTATGTGCACATCTTTATCTTTTCCTTCTAACCTATGTGCTTTGAGTTCCAAATTAAGGCTCTCATTTTTGTTCCAACAACATTTTTGAGTTTTAAATTGTTCTGGTCTCAATTCATCTGAGCTCCATCCAGCTCAGTGTCCACACTCTATACACTCCTGCCCTGCAAGGATCTTCCTTCCCTTTCCAACACTCCTGCAAGTAACCATCCCATTAGTTTATCAGCATGGCTGTCTCAAAATAGCCACCCATCAGTGTCACTCCTGCTGGGACATTCAGAAAGGGAAATCCTATTTTGCTATGCAATAAACTCTCACCTTTGCTGCTGCCACTAAATGCTGCAAGTTACTCTTCCTGATAAACAAGTTCAGTAGAAGCCACTAAATTCAACACCCTCATTACATAAACTAACTTTCCTGGTTCTATTGTAATGTAAGCAAAGGAAACAGTGAAAAGCAGCAGTTGTGTTGACTTTGCTAAAAAACACCAAGTGAAATCTGATGTAGTTTATCTTCCTTTTACCACTTCCCAAGAAGGCAGATTTTTATGCTGTAAAAATGGAACTACTACAATATTACGTCTTATTCCCATTGTTCAAGGCTTATATATTATGCAACTTGTTCCTGTAACAGTTTAAACTATAGCTTGCCTTCTATACAGTTCAGTTTTAGACTGAATTTTGAGTGTTGTTATTTGAAGTAAAAAAATAAAGATTAAGCTACCAGCAGTACTACAGCTTTTTACCCTTTCATCAGTGCTGGTAGGATACTGCAATAAACTATCTTGATAGCTTAATAAATAGCTTTCTGCAGGCAAAACAGAAATTACACAGACCAGATGATGTCAAAAACTCAAAAAAAATTTAGAGCTTCTTCAAAAAGCAGCATTTGAATTTTAGTTCTATGCAGCAAAATAATCCTGAGTATATATCCTGATAGCTACAGATCTGTAATTATTGCCATGCATATCCAAAAAATCCCTTCTTCTGCTGATTACTTCATCTGAAATTCCAGAGTATTACAAGGACTTAACATCCTACTGCAGAAGTTCTCAACAATTAAAAAGTGTGCTACTGCTGCATTTCACCAGTCATTAAAACACAAGAATTCCAGTGTTATGATCATTAAATCAAAGTTTAATTTGCCACACTTAAAATGAGCCAATATGATCAAGTTACTCAGCCCAGGACCACAGGGGCTCAAGTACTTTATAACCACTCCTAGCTCAGAAAGAGGTAGTTGGATAGTAAGGAATACTGGGTAACTGGCCTCTGAAGTGACTTGTTGCTCTGGGCAGCATTTTTAGTATCTGTACTTACCTGCTACGCTAGCTATTCACAAAGACACTAATATTAAAAAAAACTGCTAAGAGAAAAAAAGACACTTGAGAAGTCAGTAACCCAGTATTTGCAGTAAGTTGACTGTACCAGGCTTGTAATCAAGCTGTTGAAAACAAGTAATTTAAAAGATAATCATGTTATCATAGCTACAGGATGTCTACCTTCTAAGGTAGCCATTTGCTCCTGAGTGGTATTGCTCGCTTAGTGTTCATCTAGACATATTGACCAAATGAGACACTGGGCACTTGGAATAATAGTACAGAGTGGCACATTGTCATATAATTTGAAGTGCCCCAACTGTCTCGGGGAAGCAGATATCAACACAAGAAGAAGATGCATTTCAGCCAGATTCATTAGGTTTTCCTTCATTTAGTATTAAAAGACAGTTTGGCTGTTTGGAGAAATAAGCACACAGCAGTTTCCACAATGCAAAACTGCAAGTTTGGTAAGCATTGGTTTAAAGGAGTAATAAAACTTACCAATTAATGAGTTTTAATATTAATAAATACCCACATAAGTAATATGTAAAACCCAAATTGCTTCTGATAAAAGTTAGTTAGGTAAAGAGGAGCTTGTCAGTTATTTACTTACTGTTCTCTATGGTTGGATCGTATGAATCAACAAACTGTCCTTCCACAAACTGAATCGTCAGTGAAGATTTTCCTGTAAAGCAAGGAAAATGTCATTTGTATTGAAACAAGTCTTCAGGCTGTTATCACTTCACACTTGATAAGATACACTAATGTTTTTATAAGAGTCAATATAAGTTTTCTATGGTTCATTTAAACTATCTATACATGACAACTGACCTATTTTTAAATTAAGAGCCTATTTCTAGTAACTGGGTCTCCTTAACACCTAAAAAAATAGTGCAAAAGCTAAAAGGCATGTGTTCTGCTTTTGTTTTAACACAGCATAATTTAAGCAACTCCTCCAGTTTAAAACCAATCTCAAAGTAGCAGTATCCAATCCTCATAAAACTAAATTTGACAAACTGCTATACTTGCAAGGCATTTCTGTTGAGAAACAAGGAAAAGGAGAAATAACGTTCCATTATTGCAAAGAAAACTAGGATCTTGGGTAGATTTAGCTGAATTTGGTTTGACTAAGAAATTGGACATCCTTCCCATGACAAAAGGATGGTCTCAATGTTATTGAGATCCATATTCTACCTCACCTAAAAACACTCTTAATGCCACACTACAACAGGAACAGTGGATGCTGTAATTCAAGAACAGTGATTGAGGGGTAGCATTGGATTTGTTCTCTTGAGAGCAATTTAACTGCTACGTTTGCAGATAACATTCTCCATTTCAGTTACACTGATCTGATAATAAACCCCAATTAAAAGTAATGTAAAACAGTGCATGTAGTAGCAGACTGAAACAATGAAAACTAGTCTTGGAAGATTTTACATGAAGGTAAGAGCAATTCACATAGATTGACCACAAAAAGTGCGTTTAAAGCTTGGCAACTGAAGACTTTCCAAGGCATTACTGAAGTCTAACACAATTTCCATTACAGCACATCATCGACATTTGGGAATCTACTAGATCCTATGACATTATCCTTACTAGACAAATACATTCTTTTAATGGTTGTCAATTGCATTAGTTGCTTTTGGACGTGAGCATATTCTTCATGCTTCTTCATGCTCCTTCATACTCTTCTTATAAGCAAGAAGTACAAACAAAAAACCTTCCTATTTAAATTTAGACTCAACACCTTTCTACTCAGTGGAAGACTTTCAATGACACCATGAGTAACCAATGCTCTGGATGAACTAGCTTACAGTAGAACTATTTTCAAGAACTAAATTCTTTGGATAGAGACTATCCACTTGCAGTGCTTAGACCACACTATGTTTATATTTTGCTATAGTTTAAGTTCCTTTCTAAGCATTTATTCAGGAGATATTAAAAAACCAGTTTTCCCGTTCCAAACCCCCCATTCTTGCTTCATCATACAAGGCTCTTGGCTTACGCCATATTTGACTTTTTATTACTACAAGCATACTTAGCAACTATTTTTTTTAGAAAGACATTCTAAAAAAACATATAATCACAAAGTACAAGGATTAAAGTGATGCAAGGGAAGTTTGGCTTAATAGTTATAATTACATGTGCAGTGCATTCCTTTATTAACTGCAACACTTCCTGGATTTATTTTTCCAGGAGGAAGGAATAAAATGTTACACAGACATAATTTGGGGAATTTCCAACAGCATAACAATCATTTTGCTGACTTTTGTTTATTTTAACATTGATTTTTCACTGCCCAGCCTCTCCCTTTGCTGCCTCCTATCAGTTTTGCCAGTTCATTCAAGATACAATGCTAAAACCCCCAGACAAACACCAAAAAGAGGAACCAGCACACAATCTTGTAAGAGTTGCTTTGTTTCAAACCAAGTCCTAGATACCATTTTCAGATACATCTAACAGTGCAACTAAAGGTGTCATCCTCCTTTAGTTCACAGACAACATTCCACTTCAAACTGTTGCTCAAGCAAGGAGAGAGAAAAGGAAAAAAAGCAACTGTGCACATCTGAAATAATCCTAATAAGGACAGATTTAAGACTATGCATCCCAGCTACTTTCTGAAGCTGTGTGTTTTGGACACCACATAGAGAGCATACAAATTTTCAAGCTATTTCTTCTTCAGCTATAAGCTTATGAAACTGTTACCCAAAGTTCATGCTTCCAGAGTCCTTACCAATACCAGCATATTAAGCACTCCATTTTAAAACAAAGTTAACCATTCCCACTTCAGGCCTACATTACATTATCCTTCCAAGGTAATAAGAACTATGTTAAGCACAGATCACCACTGCAACTTTTGCTTCCTAAGAAGGATCTTCAACTAACTGAAAGACTTGACTGCTACCATCTGTCTGTGCTAAGTCTGGAAACTGAATACTAGAAAGAAGCTGAAGCCAACAGAAAATGCTGCATGTAGCATCCAGCTGTATTAATCACTGCTTTCCTTCAAACAAAGAGGAAGAAACAAAACCAGACAAAACCAGTGTTCCAACACTCTCCTCCTGAACTCGTCCAAACTTTGTAACAAGCTTTCCAGTAATGATGTGTTTGTGATCACAAGATGATGCCTGCTTTCCTAGATGAGCCACAGCGAAGCTCTCCAATCTTGGATTCAGTCAGGTGTCCCCTCAGGCAAAGTGCATGAAACAGTATCCTACTAAACCAAGGCTTCCAACAAGAAATTTAAAACCTAGGTCATTAACACCCCACTGCCCTGTCTCAGCCCATGCCCAAGAAGCACGCAGGGCCATGTAAACAACAGCTTGCCTTGAACTTTGTCCCACAAGGTTTTATTCCAGGCCTTTGACCTATGCTCGTGGACAGAGAGGAAAATGAAGTTGACAATTTAGGTCCTATCTCCCCTTTCCCCAGAAAGATCAGGCAAGGTTTTCAGAGAGAATTACAACATAAACAATGTCCATGAGGCAGGGGCCAGAGAACTGCATGCAACTGTGTTTATCGATGTGCTAACTCCAACTCAGAGCACTGTGAGCAGGACCACATGGGGACACACTGCAGTCTTGCTGGGCATCTGCCGTCTCCACGCTTCAGCCTTAAAGGGCAAGAGAGCCTGGGACCACCAGCAAAGACCTGATCGATTACTCAAGGGTACACACCTCAACAAAAGCTCAACTCAAATATGCGGTCATTTGGAAAAAAACGCGTATGTTTTTTACTTTGCTAAGCTTATAAGCAGGCTCCATGCTAGTACTTTTAGTGTTTCCAGTGTCTTCCAGTTTTAGGAATTTAAACATCTGTTGAGACTTAAAGAAAGTGTCAAGAACAGAAGTAAGGCAAAGTCTGCTGGAAGCACTTCACCTAACTGAGGGAGAACTGTGATTTTAAGATGAAAAAGCATTTGCAAAATCTTAGTGGAGGAGGTTATGGTTTAACCTTATCACTCCATTTGGAATCAAAGAGCTTAAAATTACTAGAAAGAAATAAATTAACAAAATAAGGGCAATAGTGGGGCAGGGCAACAGATTGACTCCTTCAGCTGTACTTGCTATGGTAACTCAAAGCATCAGATATTCTAATAGAGGAGCTGCAAGCAAAATACTCAATGTTTACTGACTCTCCCTCTCCCTGGAGAAACAAGACAGAAGGGTTGGAAGGAATGGGTTTTACAAGTGTTTAGAGTAAGTTCCAGGTGGCCCAAAGTTCAACCCTGAACTAATCAAAGGGTATCTGAATACACAATTAATTATTTGTGATATTACACAGACTGGTACAGAAAAGCTTTCCACTGTCAAAACAGGAACAGAAAGAGCCATTTCAAAAAATAAAGTGGAACATCCCAAAACACTCTGACTTGTGCAGTCATAGCACATCAGTTTCAAATGCCATTGCAATTGTCAAGGAAAAACAAATGCCAAAATGACTTTTTACTCATGCTTTTACTTTTTGGACAAGGGCTGTGGTATTTAATCTAGCCTTAAAATTCAAGCTTTACAACACCAGGCACTTAACCAAGAAAATGAGTAACTGAGTATGGGTGGGCTCATGAGCAGCTGGCCTCCCCAAAGAGGCCGAGCCCTCTCTTTGGTGCACCACCACCTGCCTGCTGTCCTCTCCACACATCCTCAATTCTTATTGCAATGGGCGGAGAGAAAACCCAGATGAAATGCTCATCTGCAGCCTACTTCCCCCCAAAATCTGGAGATAGGAATGATGCAACTGGCCAGCCAGCAAGTCAAACAACAGCTCCACAAGCAAGGCATTGTGCAAGCTCGATTCTGCAGCTGCCCTCTAACGTGGCATCTCCACGATGACAGCCACTGGCAGCACAGTGCAGTTTATCTCAACAGGAAGAATTTCTCAATACTCGAAATCATCTGCACAAGCAACGAGTAAACAGTCTGATGGGGTCACAAACAACAACTACTGAAGAGTTGCAATTCTCTGTTCTGTTAGAATTTTAGATGCATAGTTTCTTTAACTCATCTTTTTCCATAAAAACTTCTTATGTGCTTTGCTTAATTAATAATCAAACACTTAACCCCATTTAATTCACTCCTACCTCAAGTCTAGCATCTTATCAAAGTTAGTCTCTACATAGATCTGCACAATTTTACCTACAAAACAAACTAGTTTAAGATTTTTCACAAGAGGGTTCAAGAAATTTCATTATGAAATACTGTCAGTCATATCAAATTAGGTAAGACTTACTGTCTTCAACATCTCACAGTTATGGTCAACTTCACCATGCTTCACAGAGATTAAGTTTTCATACTCGAAGTTACACTTGATTTCATTTGAATGTTGGCACCTTATCTCCTTTAATCCAGAATACCAAGATGCATTAAATGGAGACCCGAGCACTACCACAGTAGAGATCATCTATTTGTCCTCAGAGCACAGAAAGGGACAGAATAACTTCTTTGAGTAGATGGAGGGTTAACTGGATAGCAAAGGGAATAATAGCATAACTTATAAACAAAAATATTCTCATAAGATAGTACAGTATCTCAGAACCCACCACTAGCTCATCATTCACTCAGGCTTCATCATTGGCAACTTTTGGCAGTTAATTAAGATTTTTCCCTTAGGTACTAATTATGGCTATGTAGTTGCTATTTTGTTGACCACTGCTATGTAGTTTGGTGAATCACTGTAATGACTACAAAAATTATACATTTGGGTTGATAAAAAATTCTGTTTGTAAACCTCTGGAGACATTAATATAACGAGTAGTTTGTGTTTTACTCAGATGCAACTTAATTCTACTAGTAGACTTTTAATCATAAGGAATTATGACTTATAAACATGTATTTTGAACCAGTTTTATGCATTTTATAGTGACTTCCTTACAATGGCAACATTATGATACCAGGATAAAGACAATTATTTCCTGAGGCTTACAGAGAAAACTCTTGGTAACACAAAGAGCTCAACTGGTGCACTTGCTCATGTGATACTCATGCTCAATTTGCAACACCAAGAGTCGTGGCACTCCTCCTCCCTCCAAGTGCTGTCTGAGCTTTCCCAAGGAAAGACCAAAGGATCTGCCCTTATAACCCTTTAGGAGCAAAAGCCTGAGGACATAAAAGAGACATCTTTTGGTACAGCAGTGAAGAGATCTTAATGACAAGCCAAACAGCAGATCAGCATCTAAGGACCAAAAAAACTCTCAACTTTTACAGCACTCTATCCCATTACTACAATCGCTCCCTGCCTTCTCCTGGTCTATTTTTAAATCAGGATAAAAAGAAATAAATATGGCAGCCTAAGGCAAGGTATTGTAGCAAGAACCGCTCCTGCTGTAGAAGAGGTTCACATGACAGTCTGTAACACCAAGAACACAGGCCTGCAGGGAGAAAAGGACACATGCCTATTTCCCTTTCTTCTGCATTGCACAATCTTCTTGAGGTTTATCAAAGGTATTCCTCTACAAGCCCAGATGAACTCTGCAAAGCAGTCATTTAGAAAGGAACTTCGATTGCTTCCTTTTCTTCAGATTTCAAAGCAGCTGGTCAAACTCACAAGCACATTTGTTGGCCCTTGAAAGGCTAGCAGTAACAAGCCTTCAAAACACAAACCAAGAATCCTAATAATGCCATCCAGATAATATTTTCTATAAGGAAAACAAGAAGAGAGCATCTGCTTTATTCCCCC